GCGGGCAGAACCACCCGGCTTCAAATCTAAAACCTTTTCAGCTCTCCGGAAATTTTCGAGCGGCTGAGAGGCTGATGGTGGGCGCCATTACCGTCGGGCTTCAACTCTGAAGCCCTCTAGCTCTCGGAGAGCTCTCCGTGAACTAACTCAGGGAAGCTCTACGAGATGTTCCTCCAGCTCATTTATGACGAGAGCTCTACGAGGTTGTACTCTTAAGCTTCCCGCAACTAGCTAAAGGAAGCTGCACGAGTTAGTAGCTTTACCCCGCGCCAGAATTTTGTCTAGCTTTCTTTCTACGAGGTATTCCTCTAGTTCATCGATGCCGAAGAGCTCTACGACGTCAGCTGCTTGGTACCGTCCAAAACCTTCAGAGCCACAAGACTCTCGGGAACGTCAAATCTCCCGTGGAGAGCTCTGGGGAGCTCCCCTGAAGCGGTTCGAAAGCGCTGCAGGCACGCCCCAATGAGTGCCTGCACGCGTGCAGGCACGCGTTGACGCATGCCGGAAGCGCCCCCGGCCCAGCTGCCGACTCAAACGAACTCCTGCGGATTCCGGATGGCGGAGATGGGCTGCTGGCCGGCACCACCACCGCCCGGCTTCTAATCTAAAACCTCAGAGAGCTCTGAGAGCTAGAGGGTTTTAGATTAGAAGCAGGACAGTGGTGGTGCCTGCCAGCAGCCGAATTGGTAGCGTCCAAAACCCGGAGAGCGAGGAGATTCTTCGGGACGGGAAATTTTTCCTACACTGGGAACTGGCGGTAAACCGTCAAGCAGGTTACCGCCGGGGCCCTCGTAGACCTCGTAGAGCTCTTTTCTCGCACGGGGCTCCTCGATCACATGAAGGAAGAGCTTGGAGCGAAGCCCCAAAAACTCGAAAAATCGCATTTTTAGGTTTTTATCCAAAGACGGTTGCTCCAAATGTTTTGATAGTAATACTGCACCTACGGACCTGAGAATTTGACTGGCAGACGCGGCATAATCCACTACAGGTGCGAAAAATCTGGTACCAAGTTGTCCGTTCTGGTCGGGTCGGCCAACTAGCTCCACCCCGCGCCGGAATTCCTCTAGCTCATCGATGCCGAAGAGCTCTACGAGGCATTCCTCTAGCTCATCGATGCCGAAGAGCTCTACGAGGTACCGGAAAGCTTTCCTGGCGAGCCCTCGGACGCTCTCGTGAAGCGTTTCTGGAGCTGCGGGGGGCCCCCCATGCAGCGCTTCTGAAGTGCTGCCAGGAACGCTTCCACGCGTGCCTGCACGCGTGCAGGCACGCGTAGACGCTTGCCGGAAGCTCTCCCGGACCCGCTGCCGGGTCGGGCGAGTTGCTGCGAGGATCCTGGACCGGCGGAGATGGGCTGCTGGCGGGCACCACCACCCTCCGGCTTCTAATCTAAAACCCTCTAGCTCTCAGAGTGCTCTCCGGGAATGTGCCACATTGTCTCTTTTGGTCGGGTCGGCCAACTAGCTCCACCCCGCGCTGGAATTCCTCTAGCCCATCGATAACGAAGAGCTCCACACCGCGCCGGAATTCCTCTAGCTCATCAATGCCGAAGAACTCTACGAGGTACTAGCTCCACTCCGCGCCGGAATTCCTCCAGCTCATCGATGCCGAAGAGCTCTACGAGGTGCTAGCTTCACCCCGCGCCGGAATTCCTCTAGCTCATCGATAACAGAGAGCTCTACGAGGTACTAGCTCCGCCCCGCGCCGGAATTCCTCTAGCTCCAGCAGCTCCTCCACGGCGAGAGTCCCCGTGGAAAGTTGTTTAAGCCAGAAGCTGGTCCAGGAGCGCTTCCGGCACGCGTGCCTGCACGCGTGCAGGCACGCCTGGAGGCGTGCCCCGCAGCGCTTCAGAAAGCGTCCTCTTTGCTCCCCGGGTTTTGGACGCTATCAATTAAAATGCCTTGTAGAGCTCTTCGTTATGGATGAGCTAGAGGAATTCCGGCGCGGGGTGCAGCAAATTGCCCGGGGAACTCTCTGGGGGCCATATGGTTTTAGATTAGAAGCTGACGGTGGTGGTGCCTGCCAGCAGCCCATCTTCGCCGCTCCAGAATCCCCGCAGGGACTTGTGAAACCTCGCAGCGCGTCCGGGAGCGCGTCCGGCACGCGACCACGCGTGCCTGCACGCGTGCAGGCGCTCGTGGAAGCGTGCCTGGCCGCGCCTCAGAAACCCTTCAGGAGAGCCCCCCAGAGCTTCTCTGGAAAGCTGTTCAGTTCCCAGGGTGCCTCTTACCTTGTAGAGCTCTTCCCAGAGGGTCCAAAGATCAGCGCCACAGATCTTATTGGAAACGCTAGTGTTCGGTTGTATTACCTTGCGTTACAGATCGGGAGCTTCATCTTGTTGATCAAGACAGATCTTGCGCTTTATGGTTCGATGATTTTGCTAGAAAAAAATATAACTCATACATAAAACTTGGCACATGCATTATATTTCGCGCTCTAGGTATTTTGCACGGAAGCAGCAAGCGTAACATACAGCCTGGGCGCCCCGCAGCGGGACCAGCGGAATTAAATTCAGGGGGGAAGCAATTTCACAGCCTATGGTGGCCCAAAACTGGGGCGGGCGGATTTGATTTAGGGCGGACGGTTCGCCGACAAAACCCTTACTATCGCCCTGGGGCATGGTTGCAGCGCGACCTGCTGGCGCCGCGCGGTTGCGCACCGCAGGTGGCGCGTGAGACACCCTTTGATTGTGAAATTGCTCCTTTCTCCCCCCCCCCCCCGTCTTGAAGCGCATGCAGGTCTTCCTGATTGTGAAATCGCCCAACGCTGTTCTGCAACTCCTCCTCCTCCTCCTCCTCCTCCTCCTCCTCCTCCTCCTCCTCCTCCTCCTCCCCTTCCTTCTCCTCCTTCTCGTCCTTCTCCTCCTTCTCCCCCTTCTCCTCCCCCTCCTCCTCCTCCGTACTGCCCCCCTCCTCTGGCGTTTGCGATTCGAAGCCATTTTGGCGCGAGGGATTCGCTGGGCCTGCTCAGCCGCAGGCAGTGCGACCCCCACCTCTGGAGGATGGCCTCCTCTGTGAGTGGAAGCTCAACGCAGCCAGAGCCAGATGCACCGTTGCTGGCGGCGGCGGGGGGCACGTTGGAGGATTCAGTGGCCGACGCCCCAGCCCCGGCCCAAGCGAACAAGAAGCCGAGATTTGCACATCCCCGCTGGGCGCGAGCAGCCATGGAGGCCGCCGCCACGCAGGCCCAGGTGCCCACCAGCAGCCAGGCGGCGGTCGCTCCGAACAGCCAGGCCACGATCAACGAGGAGGCGATCGCCCCGAGCAGCCAGGCGGCGGTCGCTCCGAGCAGCCAGGCGGAGATCGCTCCGAGCAGCCAGGCCCCGAGCAACGAGGAGGCGATCGCCCCGAGCAGCCAGGCGGAGATCGCTCCGAGCAGCCAGGCGGCGATCGCCCCGAGCAGCCAGGCAGAGATCGCCCCGAGCAGCCAGGTGGAGATGGTGACTGACAGCCTCGTATCGGTCGCGAGCAGCGTGGCTGAGTGCGCGCACGAGGGCGACGTCGGCATCGCAGGTGCTGCCGATAGCATTCAGCCCGCGGCCGCCTCAGCGGGCAGCGAGCCCGCCATCGAGCGGCCCCTGACGAATGTCAAGGTCGAACGGCATGTCTGGCCATCGTTCGGCCCGCAACAAGGCCGCGGCGCCATCGACCTGGACACGGAGAGTGACGTGGGTGCCCCCGACGAGTCGCTCCCGGACAGGCAGCCCGATTTCTTCGACGAGAGCGCGCCCCCCGTGGTTGCCACGCCTGTCGTGGGAGAGTCGGGTGCCGACTCGAAGCCGAATGGTGCGCCGATCTCCGACGATGAGCCGCTCGTGATGCTGCCGATACAGAACAACACCGACGACGAGCCGCTGAAGACTGCGCTCAAGGAGAGCCAGGCCCTGGAGGAGGAGAGGAAGCGCAAGGCTCAGGAGCTCGAGAAGGAAGAGGCGGAGCAGATCCGCCTGGCGAAGTTGGCCAGCACCCGCGACCAGAAAGCCATCAGGTCGGAGTCCCTGATCCAGTCGGCGCTCAGCGGGGGCAGCTCGGGCAGCTCGGGCGAGGACAGCCGCCTTTCGTTTTCGCCGTTCTCGGCACGTCGGTGCTGTCTTGAGCCGATTCTCTTCCATCCATCTCCTCCTCCTCCTGATCCATCTCCAGGTTCTCATCCACCTCCCCGCCCTTAAGGCCCTTATCCTCGAGCATATCCTTATCCTCGAGCAGCTCTGCCACCCCCACCCCCCACCCCCCACCCCCCCAAGGGAAATCTCGGCCCCCCCCCCCCCGATACATCTCCAAGAGGATATCGAACACTCCGAAACGTTCCATCGAAAAGATGTCCTGGTGATCTTTTCTAGTCCGTGCGCCCCCTCCCTGATCTCTCATTTCCCCCTCCGGCCCGAAGGACACGCTCCAGACGCCTCCGAAGGTGCGCAAGTCCGTCAAGGAAGCCGAGAAGTTATTCAACTGCTTGGAGGCGACCCGCGGCCAGCCTCCTTCCTCCCCCTATTCCTCCTCCTCCTCCTCCTCCTCCTCCTCCTCCTCCCCCTCCTCATCCTTCTCCTCCTCCTTCTCCTCATCCTTCTCCTCCTCCTCCTCCTCCTCCTCCTCCTCCTCCTCCCCCCTCCTCCTCCTTCTCCTCATCCTCCTCGTACTCATTATCTGTCTAGTCGGTATCTGGCGGCCACGAGGGGGAAGAGGCAGGAGGAGCGGCAGGGGGATTCTCCTCACTTCTTCCTCTGCCCACCCTCCACCATGCATCCCCCTTTAAGGTGTGCTCTCCATCGCTCTCCTACCCCGTGGTATCATCAACTCCTCACCCCTCCTGAGCTCGAGGTCCCAACTCGTCCCCCCACGTCCTCCTCCGCCCTCCTCCGTGATCCCCCATCCCTCCTACTCTTCGCCTTCTTGCTCCCACTCCTCGACCCCCCGCCCGCCCCATTTCTGCAGTTCTTGCAAGCTCGCACTTCCGTGCGTAACCATTCGTCTCAAGACTCTTGGGATCGGACCTGCCGCGGGGAGGCAGGCTCGCGATGGCCGCTTGCGAGCGGCGGGTTTTAGTTCGAGAGCTGACGCGATGCTGGGCGTACCACATCAAGTTGGCCGATGAGCTTGATTATTGCGGCGACGAGGAGGTCATGAACGCGAAGGTCAAGAAGTCCTTCCTCGTTCGGTACAGGGACCTCCTGACGGAGACGCGCCAGATCGCGAAGTCTGTGGATAAGACTGTCGCTCAGGAGGCCCTCGTCGGAGTGGCGACGCGCAACGAAGCTGCGTGGCACCTGGCTGCAGGGAAAAAGCAGTGGTCGATCTTCACTGCGCGGCAGCTCAGGGCGATGTTGAGGCACGTGTCCCAGGCTGTCATCAAGACTCCCAGGGATGAAAATTTAGTTACCTCATAAGAAGATAGGCCCTTGTGGGCCGCCAGGTGTCACGCATCTTTGCTTCGCAAATCGCCAGGAGAGTTGCTTGGGCCAGTCCTTTCGCGAGCGACGAGGGCGAGCCAGACATGGTCGACGAGGGCGCAGACGATGAGGGGACTGGCGAGCGCCCCGAGCCTGTCGCGCTCAAGAGGCCCGCGGCCGCGCCCGCCAGCGCGGAGATGGCGGCTCCAGCAGGCTCATCCGGCAAGCGGCGCCGCGGCAGCGCCATGCAGCTCAAGGTCATCGAGGTTCGGGACGGGTGGAACTTCGGGTGGACTCCAACGATGATGGCACTGCGTCCTAATACCCACTCCGTTTCAGCAGTTCTGAGGCTTGCGTCGGCGATCTGGTTTCCAGGGGATTGGTGGCGCGTCTCTTTCAGATCGACTGGGATGAAACTCCAACGCAAAATCCAATGCATTGGAAAATGCGTTGGAATTTCGTCCCAGTCGATCTTGAGGCGACGCCGCGCTAGCCCCAAGGATCACAGTTCGCCAACGCCCGAGCTTTGATGGAGTTTACCCGCAGTTCGCCCTGTCCAGGCAGCCTGGAGATGCCGCGTGGACGCCGACGCCCAGATTCCCGAGCACGCCAGGGGGGAGAAGGTGGATGGCAAGGAGACGCTGGTGGCGACTTGGCCCGACGGAGTATCATGGGAAGTTCCAGGGACCTCTCCCGCTGATGTCGGCGACGAGAAGCCAGGCAACGGCCTCTGGGAGGGGCTCAACGACAACAAGGTGGTGAGGGTCGCGATGGTGAACCACAAGTCGAAGGGCTCGTGGATCCAGACGAGGGAGGGGTCCAGGCAGCTCATGCAATTGTGTGGGTACGACAAGAAAGATCTGGAGTCCGCGCAGAAGTTGATGATCGACCTTGCGACGCGCTACTGCGCCAAGGAGCTCGACAAGCCGAGAATGGAGGTTCTCAAACTTGAGTGGGTCGCCCTGCACAACAACAAGAACACAAAGAAAGACAAGGGCAAGGTGAAGGACCCGGTGGAGGAGTCTGACGGTGAGCCGTTGCTGAAGCCGAAGGCCAAAGCCAAAGGCAAGGCCAACGCCAAGGGCAAGGCCAAAGCAGCGGCGAAGGACAACGCCAAGGTTGAGGACGACGGCAGCGATGGCAGCGACCACATGTATGGCAGCGAGGCGGCCAGCGACGCCGACAGCGAGGGCACGAAGAGCGAGGCCGACCTCCTCGAGGATGGCGCAGACGAGAAGGCGGAGGACGACAGCCCAGAGCCGTGCGCGATCTCTCAGGACACCGAGCCCAAGGCCGAGCCGAAGAAGGCCCCTGCCACGAAGCCGCTGCAGTCGCATCCGGTCGCGGAGCCCAAGGCGCCCCCTGATACGCCGAGTCCGAGATCGGCTGCCATCCTCGAGCCGATGTCTGCGCCGAAGAAGGCCGATGACAAGACCTTCGTTGAGGTGCACGCGCGTTCTTCTCCGCCCAAGCAGGTGCGCAGCACGAACTCATGGAAAGCAGGCAGCCTGCCGACCATCGAGGAGGACTGGATGGAATGGTGAACATCTTCGAGGTCGGCAGCCTTCAACATCTTCGGGGTCGGCAGGCTGGGGCGTGCCGAACAGCTTCAACATCTTCGAGGTCGGCTGCCTGGAGCGTGCCGACTGCGCGTGCCCGCGACGAGCTAGACTCTGGGCGGCGCAACGCTTTGGAAGCAAACATTCCCACCATCGTCCTTCCTCCATGCTCCATCCTGGCGTCCTCTCTCGTCCTCCGTCCTGTCCTTCATCCTCCTCCTCCGTCAGTGCCCACCTCCCCATCAGAAAGCATGCGAGCGCCAGCAGGGTGAGGGATGACACAAGGACAGGAGCTGGAATGGTAGAGGGTTGGGATGGGCAAAGGAGGAGGAGGAGGAGGAGGAGGAGGAGGAGGAGGAGGAGGAATAGGAGGATGGGAGGACACCAGGGGGGGGGGGAAGGAGGAGGAGGAACAGGAGGAGGAGGAGGAGGAGGAGGAGAAGAGGACTCGACTCGAAAGGCGAGTTCGCAATTCAAGCAAAATCGGTGGGAGAGGGAGCAGACTCGCGCGAAGGTTCTTCGAAGCATGTCGCCCTTGCTCTGAGCCGCCGAAAACATCTAATCATAACTCTCTCGAGGAACCTCGAGGCCTGGCAAAGCCTTCCCCATCCCCCCTCCCCCCGAAAGCCAGGGCCCCTTGGAGAGTCTGGCCCAGGCGGGCCAGGAGGGTCGAGGAAGGTTCGGGATCTCTGCCAGTCGCCGACCTGCCCCCTTCGAGAATCACCTTCTCCCATCGCGCGCTGCGCAGGCGACGATCCAGGGCGTCATCGAGTCGAAGCTGACTGGCGTCGACGAGATCGCCATCGACAATGCCATGCGGAACGTTTACCAGTCGCAGGAGGTGGCCAGCTTAATGGCCGAGAAAGGTTGGTTACTTCAGCGAAACAGCCTCCTCCTCCTCCTCCTGCTCCTGCTCCTCCTCCTCCTGCTCCTCCTCCTCCTGCTCCTCCTCCTCCTGCTCCTCAGTATCCTTTTCCGAAGGGGTTATTCAGTTGTCTGTCGTGCTTCTCCCATCTCCTCATCCCTCTCTCCCTCGCCCACCCTCCCTCTCTATATTGCCCTCCCCCTTCCTCCCCCACTACCTTCCTTTCTGTCTTTCTCTCCCTCGCTCTATCTTTCTTGTTCTTTTTGTGTTATCTCTCTCTCTCTCTCTTTCTATCCCCCTCTCGTTCTCTCTCTCTCTCTCTCTCTCTCTCTCTCTCTCTCTCTCTCTCTCTCTCTCTCGTCTCTCTCTCTCTCTCTCTCTCTCTCTCTCTCTCTCTCTCTCTCTCTCTCTCTCTCTCTCTCTATCTCTCTCTCTCTCTCTCTCTCTCTCTCTCTCTCTCTCTCTCTCTCTCTCTCTCTCTCTCTCTCTCTCCCCTTCCCCCCTCCTTTAAGGCGCCGCAGCCCCACCCCCCATCGCCCTTCCTCCTCCACGCGTGTCCACACCTCGCTCGCTTCACCCTGCAAGCTACGCCACCTCTCTCAACCATCTCGATGCTAGGATCTGAAACGCAATCCTTCGGGATATCCTGGGGGCCTGGCTCCTGGGTCTGCCCAGGGGCCTGTAAGCTCGGGGTACCTGGGGTGCCCGATTTGGCCTCGGGGAATCCTCGAGCCCTGGGTCGGGAAAAGATGCTTCGTAGGTCATCCGGACCTGTCGTCATCGATGAGCGCTTTGATGTCAGACGTCGACGTGGACGGGCACTTGAAACATCCTCAGAAGTGGGGCTTGATGACCGAGCCACCTGCAACCGATGCGCAGCAAGCTTCTTCTTCTGATCAGAGTGCTGGTCGCAATTTGGGGGTCGGTTTCGGAAGAGTACAAGTTCTGGGAGTCGATCAAGAAGAACAATTGGCATGCCCCCACTAATGGGGCTGAGAATGCATCCATCGCTGGACGATGGCAGAGAGCCTGCGAAGCCGACCCCGACATGAAATCGCGCTACGACAAGATCACTGGGGTCGGCAGGAATCGCAAAAAAACAAGAGTTTCGGAAGGAGTGGGCGCAGAAGAAGTTTGCTGCGATCGAGGATCCAGGGTCCAACCTAAAACGATGAATGCTGACCCACCCTCACCACTTCTCCCCGCTCCTTCTGTTCCTCCTCTCCCCCCTACCCCCTTACTGTCTCATCAACTCCCCTTTTCTGACTCGCTCCTTTCTGAGGAGAAGGCGAAAATGACCGTGACGGAGGCCAGGACGGATTTCGTCAAGGGGATCTACCGCCCCCTCGGCCGCGTGGCGGTCGAGGAGGGCGGAGGGAAGCTGGGCTGGCTTCAAGCTCCTTGGGGGGGGGGTCGAATTTGACCGCGATTCGATTATTCCTCCTCCTCCGCCTCCCTCCTCCTCCCCCACCTCCCCCTCCTCCCCCTCCTCCTCCTCCTCCTCCTCCTCCTCCGCCTCCTCTTCCTCCTCCTCCTCCTCCTCCTGACTCCTTCTCCCTCTCCTCCTCCTCGTTTGCCTGCCCGTCCTCCTCCTCCTCCCCCTCCTTCTCCTCCCTCGTCCATGTCTTCGTCTTCTGGAGAAATGGCGCATCTGGTTTCTGGCGCGATTTTGGGCACCACGTGTAATCGGCAGGGGGATATGGTAGGCCTTGGGGGTCTTGAAAATAACGAGCCCGTTGGTCGAACCGCCGACCCGACTTCGGGTGCCAGGGGCGCTGTCTCGAGGATGCGCCTCGGAGGAAGAAGGACGTAGAGAATGAGGTTGGAGGGGCGGCGAGGAGAGGGAAGGACTGGGGAGAGGCGCGAGGCTGGGAGCACGAGTCAGATTAAGGATGATGGGGGGGGCCCCAAAGAGTGGGCCCAAGCCCAGGCTTGCCGCTACTTCAGCAAGTGCATGCAGATGGGGCCGCCCTGGATCGTATATTGCCCGATGACATCATGCTTGCGGTGCCTGTACTTGGAGACCGCGCCCCGCTCGGTTTGCCTCGTTGATCGAAGCTCGATCTTTGCTGATTGCGACGGCAGGCGACGCGATTTCGGTCTACGTCCCCAGGGTGTGTCCTACCTCTCCTCCTCCTCCTCCTGCTGCACCTCCTCCTCCTCCACCTCTTCCTTCCTCCTCCCTCCTCCTCGTCGTCGTCCTCCTCCTCCTCCGATTGCTTCGAAGATCACGAGATCAATCGATCGATCGGAAGGGGGCGCGATGCAGCCGAGGGTTTCACGAACACCTTCACGACGGCCTGGACCCTGCACAAAGAGTGGTCGAACAACCCGCGCGCCGTCCTGGACAAGAAGGTTGAGGACACACCCACGGACTGCTCAACCCCTCCCAAACCTTTTCCTTCCGTCTCCCCCCCTCTCCTCCCGCTCCTCGCCTCTCCCCTCCTTTGCTCCTCCCCGCCGTCCCCATCCGCCTCCCCCTCTCCCATCTCCTCCTCCTCCTCCTCCTCCTCCTCCTCCTCTTCTTCCTGCCCCCCTCCCTCCTGGCGTCTCTCCTCATCTCTCTCCTCATGCTGCTGCTGCTGCTGCTGCTGCTCCTCCTCATCCTCTTTTCGACCATCCTCACCTTCCCACGTTCGATGATATTCCTGCTCCTCCTCATCGTGCACCCCCATCCGGAACCATTTTTTTTTTTGCCAACCCCGAGGAGCTGGAGGCGGACGCGGCGGCTGACGGAGAGGGCAAGAGGAGGAGGCTTACGAGCAAGCAGCCCTCCGACCCCCCGCCCGCGGGCCAGGCCGCCAGCACGGGCCAGGTCGCCGCCGCGGGCCCAGGCGAGGCAGCCACCACAGGCAAGGCCGCTGCCACAGGCCAAGCCGCCACCGCGGGCAAGCCCGCTGCCACAGGCCAAGCCGCCACCGAGGGGAAGCCAGCCGCCGACGCTGCCAAGCACCTCGACGAGACGCCTGCTCAGAAGAAGTCGAGGCTGGCCAAGGAAAAAAAGGAGTCGGCTGCACAGGAACGCTTGGCCATGGAAACGAAGGAAGCCAAAGATAAGGCGAAGCACGACATCATCACAGCACGGAAATGTTACCAGCGCTATTTGAGTTTGACATCCAGCGCCAGCCTCCTGCAGACAAACATGGAGAAGCGGGCAGAATGGGCGTGGGCCAAGACCGACCCAGAGACGCCGACGACGCAAGCGAAGTTGGAGGCCGTCATGGCCATCATCAACTCGAGCGACCTACTTCCAAAGATCATGGCGGCGGAGTTTCCCAAGCTCAAGTCGGTCTTGGGCACGCAGTATCTCAAGGGCATTGCTGAGCTCGTGATGCTGAACCCGAAGCTCGACGGCCTCGCGCAGTCCTGCAAGACTTTAATGAACCTCCACGAGGTCAGGGCGATGAACCAGGCTGAGATTAAGCAGGAGGCGTAGATTCTGACGTTCAGGGGCAGAGTCAGGTGCTAGCTGCTAGCTTCTGACTGGGGTATCATGTGCTTCGCACATGAATGCATCGGCTGATGAGCAGCCTGGGTCTCGCCGAGAATTTTGTCTCTCGCCAGTGGCTTGAATTCTCGGTTTCAATTGCAACTTCTGAATGTTGCAGCTCGTGGGATGTTGAATCCGTGGGGCGAGTTTTGCAGCAGGCCCACATCGAGCTTGTGCCCTCCATCCTTGAAGAATTGCGACCCTGGGCACCCCAAAAACAAAGCTCGCTGAGGAAAAACACCCCTGACCCTCGAAAATATTGCGGTGGAATTTGCGGTGGAATTTGGATTTTCCAATGCATTGGAAAACAGTGGTTTTGAGCGAATGTATCAGGCGAAATGCGATGGAAAATGGTTTCCATCGCAAATTCCATTGCATTGGAGTTTGCGGTGGAATTTGGGGCGACCGGGTCAGGGCAGAATTTTGGGCGACCAGGTCAGGTCAGATGGAAAATCGTTCCCAGACGACGCGGGTAGACGATAGGTTTCGGATATGTAGATCGGTCGGAGGGCACGCAAGCCGGCCCGAAGCGATGGGTGATCGCAGGGTCTCTCGAGCTGT